TTATTATTGGGGTCTTTTTTGTGTTCCAACTTATTTTGTGGCTGATTTGATGTCATCAGTCACATTTAGCTGGTCTCCTGTCCATAGCAAACGTTTTTGCATTTACTGCAAGCATTCCATTTAAAAAATTGACTCGGGGGCTGTTTTGGGTTTTTCATTTATTTTAGGGGTTTATTGTTATTTATTTATTTATTTATGTTCATAGGGCCTTTATTTTAGCTTACTGGTTGTTGTTGCAAGTCTTGCTGTAAGTCTTCCCTTAAAAAAGTTAGATTTTGTTTCAGGGGTGGTATTTTGGGGTTTTTACTTCTTTTGTGCATCTTTTAAATTTTTATTTTTTTCTTGATGGATCCTTTTGAGGTGCTTACAGTGAAGCATTCATTTGTTACTGGCTATTTGTACTTTAAGCTGCCTTTTGTTTGCAGCACATGACTGCATCCTTTGAAATCAGCTTATATTATATCACTCAAATTGAATGCACCCCCTATTGCCATAGACAAAATATAAGTTTGGCATACACCAGTTAGGCCTACTATCCCTCACTAAAACTGTCCTGCTGCTGGTCAATTTTACAGAGTTGTATCCTCTACAGTATATTAATTTTTGTAGTAAAGCCCAAGCCTAACCTAAACTAAATCTGGGCCTAAACTTGATTTTTAAAATTGTCCTTATGCTGGCCAATTTTACACTGTTGTGTCATCTGCGCACAGTTTGTGGGCCAGCAATGTTTTTTAAACTGTTTTTGTGCATGTACACTGAGCCATGCATGTGCTGCTGTGTACAATCCTGGCACTTGCCTGAAATTATTCCTGCATGCATGCACGGGAGTTGCATTGCCTTGGGTTGGCTAGTCAAGATGACCAAAGACTCAGATCCCAGAAGTAGTGCAGGTGAAGATATTAGCAGCAGCAATGGAGTGACAAGGGACATCACTGTTATCTCAGTGCTGATATGAGATGCTTTGGAAGGTAAGTCTTCCATTATGTGCAAATATGCTGTTCATACTTGCACCTTTTCCCAGAAACCCTGGTCCCCAGCAGCAAAGTTGAAATTTGCTTTAATTCTTGTAGTAAAACACCTTCTCTAGTAAATTATTTTGTATTTTTATTGTCCTCAAAGCCATATATAAGGACCCGCTGAACTGTATTTTTAATTTTTTTTATGCATTGGTATTTGTCCCTCATGGTAATTCTCAGATTCCAGTGTCTTTTGTTACATTAATTTGCCCATTACCCATAAAAAAGACCAGATTTTAACTCCAAGATTTGCCCCCCATAGATTGCAATGGGATTTGCCTTTTAGCTAAATTTTGAAGATTCACAAACCCAAGAATCAAATAATGGTAGATTTTCCCATCACTACTGAGGCATAGTGATTGTCATAGGCCCAAGTGTCTGTAGGAAGATCTGTTCCTGTTGCCCATAGCAACCAGTCAGATCAAAGTTATAAAAACCTAAAATGGAGAATCTACTTGCAAAGAGTAACAATATATGTTATAAGCTCAGACATTTCCTTGCATGAGGCCTTGTGTGAGTATCTAGTTTTGGACTACAAATGGTATGAGTGATAAAACACCCCTATGTGCAACCTTTCAGCATCTCCATGCTTTTGTAATTTGAAGAGGGATATAATGAAACAGTGTATAGCATTCAGGCGCATGTCACAGTAGACCTGAATGAAAAGACTAATCATGCCTATTTTGTTAATGATGGGCTGTCAAGAGTCATGATTTATTTCAGACATTTTTACAAAACTAAATCATTTCCATGAATGCACAGCATGAAGCGATAATTCCTCATGTGTGATACCATTGTGGTGTTTCACATATCTGGACTTTAATGTTTATGAGATCTGTGCTTTGATAAATCTCTTTTCCACTTTTCCCACAGTTTTGCTCCTGTGAAACTGATATTTAGCCCTTTTTTCGGCATGCTGCTAGAAATTTTGAATATTGGCATTTAGTGATGTCGGTCACTATAGGAATTTCAGCATATAAGTGAAAATTATGTTGATGCGTTTCACTTATACACCTATTTGTCACAGATTGTATAACATCAACTGATAGGCTGGATTCACACTTTTGCGCTCCTTCTTTCTCAGTGCCTTAACTCATGTTTTCATGACCATAAACATGTGTTGCCCTAAGGCAACCTATTAATTATGCAATTCATTATGAATCAGAAAACGACACATTCTTTAGCAACACAATGCATGAATGTGTGAAGTGCTGCACTGTACGTTGTCCTATACTGAACAGTGCATTGGGTTGCCATTCACAGGTGTGTTGCGGTAACATGCAGCCCCCGAATATTACTCCACAATGGTGAAGTTTGTATGGTTTGCATGTTCAAGCTGGGGTTTTTTTTAGGAGGAACTTTTGAAGATAGCAGTATGGGTACTTATACTACTGTCTTTCCATCGTCATCCTGTGTGTTTAGACTTCACTGACTGAATGACTGTGCTTCCTTCCACATAGGTGAGTTGCAAACACTGCATCTCCTTGTGAATGACCATTGTAATTAAACTGTCAGTCAGGGCGCAATGCTCTGAGGGAACATTTAAAAGGTTCTTGATTGTAATGCACATGCGTTATCCCAGCAGCTCCCAAGAATCAAAAGAATCAAATGAGCCAATCAGAATGTCTCTGAGAACCAATCACAGCAATTTTAAAGAGCAAACACTGGCTGCAATTAGTAGCCTGGAAAGGAAAGGGTGTAAAATACTGGTATTAGGGTGGTTAAATAAGTTGCTGTCGAGCAAAATTTAGAGGCTCATAACCATATCCTACTTTGCTGTCCAAGTTGTAAGAAAGTCAATCAGGGTTATTCACAAAGCTGCCGAAAGCCCATACAGTTATTTAATAAAAAAGGTCTTATTCTTAATGCGGATTTTTATTTCCAGTAGCCCAAAGTGACCGGTCAGAATGCATTCAGTAAAATGTGCATTCGACAGTGCAGGGGGGCGTGGCCAGGATGTGAAGCAGCGCGGACGTGTCTGGAGGAGCTCCGTCGCTGCACTAACGAAATCCGCTCGATATCCTGTCAGTTCAGCCCTACTTATACTCACCTGAACTCCGGTGGGTGTCTGGTGCAGGGTGACATGACCGCCAGGTCCGGCAAACGTACCGACACTCCGAAACGAGGCAAAAAAGCAAAGGGAGCGGCCCCACGCTTGTCCGGCGCCATCTTGTCCTCATCTCCTGTTTCCTGCAAGTGCTCCGGTTCAGCCTGTGGAATGGAGGGAGGCGCTGAGAATCCTGCAGAGGCCAATTCGGATGCTCTGGACACCGCAAATGCCCCAGGTACTGTAAAAGTGGAAACAAAAACCATCTTGGAAGCCATAGAGGGCTGCAAAATCGCCCTCACTGCAAAAATAGATCATTTGGCGGTTGAATGCACATTGATCAGACATGATCTAGATAAGATCAGGGGCAGACTCTCACAGGCTGAGACGCGGGTGTCTGGGGTGGAAGACTCGTGTTTCAGATCACCCCTACAGTAAATTGGCAATGGGAATCTGAAGTAATATTATAAGTGTGCACATAGCTGCTGTTTTCCAACCGAATGGACTATGTATTCCTGTTTGTGAGGCAGACACTTCGCTTGGGATGGCGGGTACTGGGAGGACACACAATTGTTTAGGGTGGGGGGTGGGGGGAGGGAGCATCGGGACGGGAGAGGTCCCTATATTGGGGTTGTTATGTATGTTAGATGTGGTTTGGTTGTATATGATGTACTGAACTGTGTGCCTTCACGGCTGTGAAGGCACGATACCATGTTATGCATGAAAATCCAATAAAAAGAATTTACAAAAAAAAATAAAATGTGCATTCCAATTTTCTACTGCACAAAGGTTTTAGCACGTAAGAATACAATGGATTGGGGCCATTAATAACAGCAACAGGTGGAAATCAATAATAAGGGGTTTGCCCATGACAACTGGCCACACTCAAGTCAACATTCTCTAATCTTAGATGTATTACAACAGATCTGGTTGCAACTTTCATTTCATTCTACTGTAATAAATAAACACAATTATGGACTTAATATACTGTATATGGAAGATATTTTTCCGTATTGGGTTTTCCACGATGACCCAGTTTTCTTTATTATTTAGATACATTTTTATGCTGGCAAAAATGAAGTTTTTACCAGTTAAAACCATTGAGTCATAAAAGTATGATGAAGCTAAGCAACTAGTGACTTTAATTGTGTAAAAGAAGCACAAAGTAACTGCTGTTCTTAAACTGCCCATATCAGTAAAGTTTTGTCTATAAAAAAGAAAGTATTAGAGATCATGTAGCTGAATGCCAACACTCTGTCACTCAGGCAGATATTGTGTTATCTCATTGTGAGTGTCAGACATTGTGCAAGCTAATCTCAGGTTCAGTTATCGCTCTCTTGTGTTTACATAGATGGACAGTAAAGTGTGTTGCACTGTATGCTTTTGTGCATAAATGACTTGAGAGTTCCCAGAACTGTCCAAATTGAAGATATACACAGATATTGTCAGTTTTTCCATGAGACTAAAGGCTGTCATAAGCCTCAGAAGACAGACCTATGTGTAGGCATGTTATAAATTCTGAAGATGTTTATCCAATTATCCAATTGGTTTTATGGACATGCAAGTATTGTGTGTTAATGGAGAGATGTCAGACGCTAGTTTGTATCCTCCCGTTGCCCTTCGGAGAACTATGGGGAAAAGCCCTAACCCCATAGTTCTCCTTTAAGCATAAGCTCATTTGGTGCAGTCAAGAAAATGTGAAGGCTGCAATTGCATTTATTTGGCTGCCATGGTGATCCACTAACATCAATATTCTGACTTTTTAATCCATGTCAGCGCATATTGAAGACAGAAACATCTCAGCAACTAGCATTCTCAGTTTAGGTTTACTTTAATGTTAATGGTAATGTGACTTTTGGAGAACTGATCTTGGCATTTTGCAGGTTTCTTTCTCAGTGCTGGACTATTCATGATGTTTTCCCTTTTTATCTCCCCAGCCTCACATCGCTGTAGATAATTTGGACCAAATTCATGATGAAAATGGAAACAATTTATTGCATATTGCAGCATCCCAGGGACATGCCGAATGCCTGCAGCACCTTACATCACTTATGGGGGAGGACTGTTTAAGTGAGAGGAATGAGGAGAAGCTAACACCTGCAGGATTGGCTATAAAGGTAATGAAGACGTTTTACCAGTGATGGCATTATAGTGCTTAACTGTATTACATTAGCACACAGCAAGGCTTTATTTGCAGAGACACCATGCAGGAGAATATTTTCACTTTGGCCCTGTTCACACCTAGAATTAATGTCTATGCTTCTATCAGCTCCAGAGTGATTTTGGCGAGGTACTTGACGAACTCTCATGTATCAGAAAGAAGGGTCAGTTTATGGATGAGTTCCTGGTTTTGACTCCTAGTACAGGTAGTACAGTGTTTTAACAGTACCTAGTATATATTGTAACAGATGTGCAGATGGTACTATTTTCAGTCTGCAAGGGTTGTTATGGTGCTACATGACTGACCAAAGTCTGACAAATATAGAAGTGAAACAAACATTACGGTTCCAAATAACAGTACAATTTAAATCAGATGCAGGATCATCAAATGTATCAACCACTATAGAAATTAAAGTTATTCAGAGCTGTTATACAGCAATCAGAATGCTGGGCTCTGGCTAGGTATACAAAACATCAAATAATGCAATTATGTATTTATTAACCACTTGACGACCAAGCTGAGTTAAACCCCCTTCCTGGCCAGGCCATTTTTCAGTATTCAGCGCTGCAGTACTTTGATTGACATTTATTCTTAATTGCAACGCTGTATTAAAATGTTTTTTTTACCATGTTATTAGTAATTAATGCGCAAGTGATAACACAGCGCTAAAGGTGGATTCCGTAAGAAAGTAGGTGTAAAATATAAATTAATATATTGCCTTGTTCTGGAGGTATATATATATATCCACCGAATCGTCAAGGGGCAGATCTTTTCATTGTCTAGTAAGCACTGTGCTAATGGCTTTCAGGCGAAAGCTTGTTATCTTGGCTTTTTCTATGTGACCGGCCGATGTTCTGAAATTTTAATGTAAGTTGCTATTTTTTAATAAATATTCTTTGTTGGATGTACCGCACCATGAGGGTTGTTTTTTCTCTCCCACTACCCTAAACAAAACACTGATTGGGACCGTACAATATCGCTGTTGCCCACGGCTGAGAGGAGCCGGCACCTGCCTTTAACAGAGAGCCGGGACCTCCAAGGAGACTGCAAGGGACAAGCGCTGGAAAGTGCTCGATCTGCTGTCGGGTGTTTTCTTGAGGGAATTGGAACGGAGAGATTGGAAGCCTTCTGCTCCTGAGGGATTATATTACATATACTCACTGATTCTGGTGAGTACTGATTACCTGGGGGACGGTTGATTGGAAGATCGAACTTATAAGGACTTTATATTTATTTTCGTTTGCTTGGGGAATTGGACTCAATTGATTTTTATATATTTTATTTTTTATTTATTTAGTTTGCACATTCAGTTTGTCTTATTGAGTACTTTAGATCCAATTTATTTCATATCTATATTAGTCTCCCACTTTGCAATTAATTGTCATCTGTCAAATCACATCACAAATCAGAAGTTTGGAGGAACTATTTGCACTTTATCTGTACAATAGTTTTTCGTTAATTTTATTTTATTAACGGTTTGACACAAAGGTTTGAGGATTTGTCACTTCTTTACCATTCACTTATGAGATAATTTTATTGTTAACATTTTTTTCACATTGTGTTGCATTGTATCCACGTAGAAGTTTATGCTCAGATTTATCAACACAAATGAGGTTTAGACACCTTGTTATCACTTGATTTATACATAGTTGTTTTTGATATTTTTTCATTGGGACGTTATTCACTTATATGTATATACACATATATACACCTTGAGGAGGTAACTAGTCCCCCAGTTCGGTGGATATATATATATACCTCCAGAACAAGGCAATATATTAATTTATATTTTACACCTACTTTCTTACGGAATCCACCTTTAGCGCTGTGTTATCACTTGCACATCATATTTTACCAATTCATAGCAGCTTTAGGATTAGTATTTTAACTTTTTAGCCTTATCTTTCCAAGAGCGCAGATTATTTTATCTATATTAGTAATTAATGACCCTAAAATTATTTCTCTCACTCCAATGTTCACGGCGATATGTAACATGTGCGGCGTAATTGGCGCAATCGTCATTTTCGCACATAGGCACACCCGACGCATGTTTGCGTGTGTATGTGAGGGGGGGGACCAGCTGATTCCCATGGCAGACATATTCAGAAGTGTACTGTAACTGTACATGTGATTACTGGAGGACTTGTCATTTTGTGTTTTTTGACATTCTTTTTATTTGTGACAATTTTTTTTCAAGCTTCTTTATTTTTTTTAAAACTTTTTTTTTTACACTGAACTTTATTGCTTTCACATAGGGGACTAAGAAACCCCCTTTGTGATAGCCAATTCACATAACAGGTCCTCTTTACGGAGACATCAGGGTTCTCCAAGACCCCTAATGTCACCTAGGGACCCCCAGAGAAGCTGATGAAGCCGAGATCTGCTTCAGCAGTTTCTCACCGGCATCTGTGACACTGAGTGACACTGGAGAGTGACACTGAATGCAGGAAGTGATGTAATATACATCACTTCCTGCATTTAGGGACTGTGTACTGATCTCCCTTTGATCTCCAGTGACAGAGTCACCGTGCTGGTCCCAGCCGCACCAGGCACAGCGTATCTCGGGACCGGCAGTGGCGGCGGTACGGGGGGGGGCACACACCCGCAGCTACTACAAGCGATCAGGCATCTCTAGAGATGCCTGATCGCTTTATTGTACACAGCCATTGCTGGCTGTTTACAGTGCTAACAGTTTCCCCACTCCTGTGCGTGCTGCGCGCCGCACACAAGCAGGGGGAGGGGCAGGACGTCTTAAGACGCCCATCTGCTCCTACAAGACTCCCGTTCGGCCGTTTACTAATGGCTGTGGACGGCAAGTGGTTAAAAACAATTAAATGTATTTTACAATATAACTAGTGTAAGTCCCTGAATTTTTACTTGGTAACAACCTCTGGTAATCACATGTACAGTACACTTCTAAATATGTCTGCCATGGGAATTAGCTGGTAGAGAATCCTGGCACTAGAAGGTGTAGTAAAGCCACAGGCAACCATATAACCATTTATGTCACTTACTGCACACATTGACTGCAGTGGATGTGCTCCATTACCCAACTACAGGGTGCACTGAGGTGACTGCAGGCCCCATTTAATGTGATCCCGCGTGCATTCAGAATGTCAGATAAATGCATCCATAATTGCACTTTCATTGCCTTTGGTGCAAGCCACATTCAAACACTAGCTGGCCATCAAGACTGATGCTCTAAACAATATTTTTTTTCAGCCATTGATAAGCAATCTTATTAAGTTCCAAAACAAAATCATTATATTATTGGTCCAAAGGAGATACTGACACCAGCCTTTCAAGTGATTGCCTGACACAGTACCGTATGAGAGTCATTAAAGAATCTGATTAATTATATTCAAACAATCTGATCCTCTAATATGGCAAACGTCAGTCTGCAGTCAACAGTAAAACCAGTGATGTCAGGGTTGTGGCAATCCAAGCTGGTACAAGTCAGATTTACATTAGCACTCACATTTTCAAATATTCATAACATCCAACACTCATGCACACACCTGATTCAGCAATATAAACTCTTATAGGTTACATTAACAGGACCTGGAATTGCTTATATGCAGCTTATCCCCCACACATAATAATTGACTAACTTACTTTAACTAGGATTTTGGTAATCATAACACATATTAGGCAACAGCTCTGCTTGTGATTGCACCATTGTTTGCTCTGGCAGTTCAACGTGTTAGCGGCAGCTATAACCTGAACTTGGTATTTTTTTATTGCAGTCAAATAGTATAGGTAATTTTTACAACTATACAGTATAGGTGAGTTTTTATGGTTCTTTATTGTTTAAAGAATACATTGTCCAATAAAAAGCTATCACCTTCTTGTAAAGTGTTGACATTTTACTCTCTATATGACTTAAGTTGCTGGAGACCTGCCATTCCCCATTAAAATGCCTATAAACCTGAATCCTTATGAAAACAGTACAGAATAAATTAAACTTCGTTATTACTTTCCAAGGCCAACATAAAAAGCCTCATGCTGTACTGGATAGGCTGTGGCATTTACATAGTGATATTAGTTGCTTTGTCTCCTTATTGGCTTTTAATTTGAACAATGAATCAGCCAAATAGTGTTGTGCAGTGCCCAAACGAGATGAAGTTCTATGACAAAACTAGTCAGTATAATAAAATATGCATGAGCTGCAAAGAAAGTCAGCTAGTTTAATTTTTCTTCTTTAATACTTGGAGTGAACAAAGGCAAATGTCTCAACGGGAAGTATGTTTTTAAAATTTGGACTACCTAAAACATCATTGGTCCTTAAAGCAGTAGTGGTTCTGATATTTCTCTTTGAGACTTCAGCACAGAAACTTAAACCCTGGAGTTTCTTGCTCAACCCATTGCATTATATGGTTTGCAATCGCCTTGCTGCAGTGTAGCACAAAATAAATGAATACCCTATGCAGATTGCAGATAGGTCTTGCTGTAACTTAGATTTCCTGACAATCCCTGAGAGGCATAAACTGGTGACTGCAATCGGTTTTGGGTGGACTGACAATGTAATAGCAGCATTTGTGTGGATCTGGCTACTTCCTATACAATATAGTATTGGTTGTGGTGATCTGTTGGCTGTTTCATTTTTGACTGTTGACAGTTATTTTTAAAAGCCATCATAATAGCTACATCTTCTGAACTCCAGCATAGAGATCCAAATCTTGGAATACCAAAGAGGTATTAGGAATGCCAATTTTGGCATTACCAATCTTCAGCAATTTTAGTTTGATTAAAACCAACAGAAAAATGCTCATAAAAGTATTAAGGCAGAGGTTGAAGGTTCCAGCAATGGCTTCAGTGTAATGTCAGTGGTTGTTTGTACCAGTGAAACACATGCACATTCTTGCAGTGTATAGCCAAACTTTTTTGGTAGTTTTGGATAGAGTAGAGAGGGGTTAAAACACCTGCCAGGTTATTTTTTGCTGTTGCATTGTGGAG